TATCCCACATATATCATTCCCTGTCCTCATCTCAGAATCGTTTAATGGGATAAGAGAAACGCGTCTGTGCTGACTCCTCCCTCCAGAAGATCGCGTTCTACCCCCTGAACTTCCATCCAATTAAGGTTTCCTTCTCGCAGCTGTCGCCTCCACTCCCCACCGCATACCCAGTTAGTGGCTTCCACGCAGACTGAATGTCGCAGCGCGAACGGCGGCAGTCCTGCGCACGAGAGGCGGAGGGGGGGGCAGGCAGTTCATAAAACCTGGAAAGCAACCAAAAGGAAAATCGACTTGTCTCTTTTGCCCGCTGCTCTAGCGCCTTCTGCAAAGCTATATGAAATGACGAACGAGTAGGGCTAGGTTATAAGTTTCACTATAGCACCACATAACCCCCGGGAATCTGTAATACGGGAACAATGGTAATACAGAAATGGTTTCTTCTGCGTGTGGTTCGATGGGAAATAAAAACAAACATGTCGTATAATAGGGATCAGTCGTTGCATCTATTAAAAAACAAGTTAAATGTTACTTTCTAGCTAGCATTTACATAAATTCTGAGATAAAACACAAGCGTAGAAAGCCAAGACTGTCTTCTAGGGCCACCTAAATATCTATTCCCCCTGCCCAACTGTCTTACAGGATTGGCGATTAAACAATCAATTCTTGGTCAACGAATATAAACGAATGTGCGGTTGTGTCGAAAGTGACCGAAGAATATTACATCAAAGCCAGATACAGCTGTTTTAATGAGCTAAATACATTCAACTCCATCAACATAAACTCTTGTTGCTCAGGCAACTGATGCCAACTGAAGGAGATTCCACCCTATATTGGCGGAATTTAACGAAAAAATAAAATTCGACCTTAAATTGACGGAATTTAACGAAAAAAAGGGTAAGTCGGGCTACTTCTACATATAAAAGTAGGTTATTATTATAAGTCAAAGACAACTAGGACTTCTAAAGGCAACTCTACCCTTAGAAATAACACAGAAGGTTCTCATCAGAACCCTATCTGCGCATGACTATGATACCATTAACTATGATTAAAGATCTCCGAGGGAATCCGAAACGTCAGGACAATAAAACTCTTGTTCCAGTGGTCGCATCTTCTTCTTCGGAACTGCTTCCTGGAACTCGCATATTCACTTTTATTGGCGGATTCTCATTAGTTGTAACGCCTCCTTTCTGTTCGAATATATCGTTCAATGGAGACGCTCCTTCTACATACACAAGAAATAGTTTAAAAAAAGAATTCTGTGGCTTTGACTTAATCTGGTAATATAAATACCCTATCCTTACCGACGGCCGCTGACCAATACGTGGATTCGGAAGGCAGGGTGGCGCTCTCTGCTCTCTGTTGCCTCCCATGCCCACAATTGTTTTTTTCTATTCTTCCATACCGAAACGCTGACCTGTCCCCCGTCTGCCTTTTTTTAGGCCTGAAACACGTGCGAGGCATCCTGCTGTACGGTCCACCCGGCACCGGTAAGACACTGATGGCCCGCCAGATCGGTAATATGCTGAATGCCCGAGAGCCAAAGATTGTGAATGGGCCCTCCATCCTGGACAAGTATGTGGGCGAGTCGGAGGCCAACATCCGCAAGTTGTTTGCCGATGCGGAGGAG